TATGTGATTGAAAATGAATTAAATCAGAGAATTCGTTAAATCTCTTTATGTGATTGCAAATGCTGATGCATATTTTAATGGCACCTTCCTTACTTTGAAAAACTGTTTCGAATCTGATCTAAATTCAAATTTTTTTTACTATATTGTCTAAATCCTTTAAAACGTGTATTTATCAGACGAAAATATGCAAATAAAATACGTTCGTCCATATTTACCAAGTTTAAAGTATTTTAACTAATTTCATTATTATTAATAATTATTTTTGATCGTTGTTGGTTTTTACAAATAGACTTGTATGTAACCGCATGAAAACAGAAAACTGTAATAACAATAAGCGCGTGTTTGTACCTTATTTTTTCCGGGAAGTAAAGAGAGACCCTTTGTGCAGGGTCTTGGTATTATAAAAAAAACATCAATGAAAACTCTGTCGCTCAAAGAATAAAAATGCTGCTTTAAACTTTATTTGTCACGTTTCTCCATTGATTATTTAAATACCAAAAGTATTAACAAAAGGGCACACAGCCAATGACCGCTAAACAATAAAGAAAGTACACTCGAATCTCAATAAAAGTTGACGATGGCGTCTGAAGGACATTAAAATTTAAATTCTTTCTAATGCAAACATCATAAATTAATGACGCATTCAGAACGTTGTATATTAAGCGCAGATTATCATTTCTGTTTCCTTTTTATCAAATTTTATCTCCGAAGGGTCATATATCAAATATATGCTTTTGTCACTTCTTATATGCTGTACCAAGAATTGACATAATTTATTTTGAAATATAAAAATGAAAAATTTTATGGTGACAGATTTATTACTTTAGATTTGATTTAGAACTATTAATGTCAATAAAAAGCTCAGCGATAAAATCATACTCCTAAATAAACATTTTATCCCGATCAAGTTTCGCCCTATAGAAAAACTGTTTGGAAATATTGAAACCTTATTAATGACCTTTTTTCTCCTTCTTTAGACTTTATCATATATGTATGCTAATAGATATATGCATTTTTAGGTTAAAATTCAATACCCAGCAAGACTAAAATAATTATGCTGGAAGTTTGGAAACAATACACTCTATGTTTTGAATATGCAGTCGAACAAAATGACTAGTGCATGGCATCGTGCCTTAAGGCAAATTGCTGGAACTTCCAGTACCAGAATTAAATATTCGAGCAAGAAAAAATTAATAATCAATAAATATTGATCTATGATTAATTACAATAGTTTTAAATATTTTCGAAGAAATTATAAATACAATATATTTATTCGTTCATATAATATACAGTGACAATCTTATCGCTAAAAGCACTTGAAAATGTTTACATTAAAGAGAAGCCAAATGAATCCATCTGAGGATATATTTCTTACGAGTAGAATAACGCATATATGCATTTTTAAACTGAATTGTAGATTTAAAATTTATTTTTGAAATATAAAACTTTGTATATTTTTGAAAATTTTGAAAAAAAATTCTGAAAATTTGGAAATTTGTGTGAAACGTACAAGTAAACTTTTGAAACCCAAAAAAATTAAAAAAAAAAAACAGTACACATTTTTAAAATATGTATCTATAAAATATCTGATAATTTGATGCGAATTTGTCTAATGATCATTTTAGACCGCCAAATATGATTTTTTTCTACATTTTCCTCTGTATCTTCGAAACCGCTGGACCTGCCTTTCCAAACATTTAATCAATTTTTCATTTCGTCAATACAAATAAAATGTTTTTTGAATCATTCAAATCAGGCGCTCCGTTACCTCAAAAACTGAATTAACATTTTTGACATTTTTGGCCCCGTATCTTCGAAACGGCTGGACCCGTCTTCGCCAAAAACTAATCAGAACGTCTCCCTATCAATAGGAATCGAATGTTTTTGAATCATTCAAATCGGTTGATCCGTGCGCCCGAAATCGTGGACAAAAAATTGTATCCAAACATACATACATACACACACACATACATATGTTTTTTTCTGAAGTATGCCAGAATGTTCAGAAACCTTTGAAACGTAAAGATATATAAAAATTCTCAAGGACCACATTTGTTGGTCAACAAAACATTTATGAATGAATTCAAAACCTTATCTACCAATGAAACAATGAGCAAAATACATTATCATTCAACGCTTAAGTAAATATGATTTCAAAATTGTATAATAATGTCTTTTGTTACGACAGTATTTATCAAATAAAATATATCAAAGTTTGTATAAGGATAATAATAGATTTCTACAATGAATTGAACATAATGAGCCATTAATTTCTATATTTAATCACATATTATTCCCAATGTTTGTGAAAATTTTCCAATAGAGTTTCGTGACTATTTGAACTTAATATTGTTTATAGATCTTATTTAGATATGATAAAAGTTATGACTCAATTTGGCATAAAAACATCTTGAATGATTCCATTCATTCGCTTTCATAATTTGTCGAAGTTCGACACGTAATTCTTTCGCCGAAAGACAAATACGGACGCGATGAAATTTGGAAAGCGGTTTGATCTACAAACAGTAAAATAGTAATTATTTATGCACATACACATATGTAAAAATCATTAAATATAATCTGTAGACATATGTGGTCAAATAATACCAAATATATATGATGAACTTAAAACTTTCACTCTTTCTATGAGTGCGTACTTTTTCAATGAACAACTTTCATTTATTTATTATTGTCGATTGTCGCGGCGAACAGAATGAGTAACATATTAATCACATTCGATACGATACGATGATTTTTTTAAAGCAAATTATATAAATGGTATAATTGAGTTTTATAATTTTTTTGCACCTGAAGTTTTTTCTTGCCAAACATAGAAATCATTAGCAACTTTAAAAACTGTACACGATGATTAAAATCGCTTGATTTGAATATACAATTGTAAATGTAATTTATAAAAACTTTCTTAAATTATAAAATCAAGTAGCAAAAAATTGCATTAATGGCTTAATTTATCTCAAAACTTTTCAGCAACGTAGTACTATGGGTTTTTAAAATTATTATTATTTTTTATTGAATTTGTATGTAACAATCAGTATAAAGTAAGTAATTCTATGAGCTACAGTGAGAACATAATCTAAACAAATCTATAATGTAAAGGAAAAAAAATAAAAATAGATAACTAACTATAATAATAATAATAATAACAAATAAATAAAAATAATAACCATAAAAAAATATTATTTCAACTAACTCTTTACAAAATTGATTGAAGATTCATGATAAAAATCATATATTTAATATATATGTTATAAATCTTTTGTACGTGTGTTGTCACTAAACTGCTCCTGAACGGTTATTCAAATTTTGATAAATAATTTTGGAATTTCTCAACCAAAATGAAATAAAAAAATGAATTAGAAAAATATAGTGATATCGCAGAAAAAAGGAGAAAAAATGAGGAGTAAGTGTTATGTATACATTCATAATTATTAAAATATATATTTATTATTATTATTATTATATTAAGGATTATGCTTTCAAATAAAAATAGAAATTTGAGAAAATATTCAGTAGCTTTTTTTATAGAATTTTCAAAAAAAAAATTTGACGAGCTCTGTATCAATATTTTATGCCCAAAGACAATAAACGCTTAACCGACATCAATAATTTAAAAATTATCAAATAGTGGCAATGATCTAAAAAAATATAGTAATAATGCAGAAAAAATGGGAAAAATGCAAAAAACAATTTATTATTGTTGAAAAGATGAGAATGACAAAATATCAATTCACTTAAAATTGAACTTAGATGATGAGTAAATAAATTGAACATAAATGATATGTTAAATTATGAGTAAGAAAAATATAATTCAGCATTTTCAAATAAAAAAAAATTGAGAGAATATTCAGTGTTTTTTTTTAAATTAAATTTTCAAAAAAAAGTTGTTTGGCGGGCTCTCTGTATAAATATAAATATAATGAATATTTAGACAATTATGTCACTTTAAATATAAAAAAATATTTTTCCTCATATAATTTATATTTAAGCATTCTTTATTGTATTTGTATTTTGATTCTGCTTGAACTTAAAAGATTTTGAACGTATTTTAATTTAATATTTTGTAAAATCCAGTAAATCTGATAAATTTAAATCTAATTTTTCAATTTGTATAAATTTTGTAATGAACAAGAAAATGAACTAGGTTGTGACTGAATTTATTGAGAAAGTATTTATAAAAAATAAACTTATTAAAAAAGTACAGAACGGTATTAAAGACTCTAAAGACATTTTCGAATTCTGCTTGTTAACTTCAAAGATTTTGAACGTATTTTAATTTAATATTTTGAAAAATCCTGTAAATCAAATAAATCTGAACCTAATTCTTCAATTTGTATGAATTTTGTAATGAAGAAGAACATGAACTAGATTGTCGTTAAATTTGCTGAAAAAGTATTTATAAGAAATAAAATTATTAGAAAAGTATAAAACTAATAAAATCTCTAATCTTGTCATGACATTTTAAAATTTATAAAACCATCAGATTTGAATGCAATTTTATACTTTTCTAATAAATATATTTTTGACAATTACTTTTCATTATTAGCAAACTTAATGGTGCTTCGTAAACAAAACTTCCCAACATATTTTAAAATTTTATAAATTTAGATGTAAATTATTGGGAATATATAGGGAGCATTTATTGAAGTATCTATAAATATTAATTTCCGCCAATTTAAATTAAAAATGATTGTATTTTAGCTTTTCCAAAATGTGCACAATTCGTTGCTTTTGACGTACGGGATAAAGTTAACTGGATTATACTCAAGCCGAATACAATTGTATTCTGAAGAAATTTAACATAATTTGAATACCCAAAAAAATCACTTTGCAGGTGTGTGTTAGTACAAAACGATATTTTACAACTAAATAGGAACTGTTCTCAATAATCCTATTATTATGGATTATATATATTATTTAGCAAAACATCACTCGTTCATATAACGCCGTATGTAAACAACTTTTAACATGTATCGTTCTACCTCTATAACTCCTCCTGGTCCATTCTTGACTTCGTAATCGCACAGACTCTGAGTCGCCAACATTTTATTTTAATAAACAAACTTTTATTCAAACTGCACTAAAAGTTTATGCACTAAATGGAATCATGTTCACACAAGTCACTTATAATAATTATTAACTATAATAATTCGTCGAAAAAACTTAAAATTAAAACAACAAACACAACGAGGACACGTTCTCTACGGCACGTCGCGTCGAACTGTCACGCGCGGTCGAACATGCTCCCAGCGTAGAGTGCGCGCCTGTTGCTTCGGCGGCGATCGGCGAGGCTTTCGGAGGGAATCGTTGGTGATGGATTTAGACGGGGCGCAGGTAGGAATCGATTAAGGCGAAAGGGATAAGAAATTTTTTTCGATGGGTATTATGAAGTATAATTTATATAAATTCACTTTTATATTCACTCTAGTAATGTATAACTAATGATGCGTTGCCGCATCGTCATTTAAATTTTTAAAAGTTTTAAATTTTTTTTAGAGATTATTAGAGAATTTCAATTTTTTTAACTGTTTTGATTTTTTTTTTCAAATATTTGTAAACATTTGAAACATTTGTTGTTTTTAACTTCCCTTAGGGTAAGTTATAGTAATGGACCGAAAATCGAAAATATTTTTTTTTGTATATCTTCACGTTTTGAAGGTTTCTCAACATTTTGGCATACCTCAGAAAAAATGGATGTGTGTGTGTATTTTGTATGTCCGCATTTTTTCGTCCACGTTTTTGGGCTCACGGATCAACCGATTTGAATGGTTTAAAAACCATTCGATCCCTATTGATAGGGAGATGTGCTGATTAGTTGTTAGCAAAGGCAGCTCCAGCCGTTACAGAGATACGGAGCAAAGAGTGCAGAAAATAGAAATCGAGTTTTTGAGAGAACGGAGTATCCGAATTGAATGATCCAAGAAACATCCAATTTGTAATGATTAGGAGAAGTGGTGATTAGTTTTTGGCGAAGGCAGGTCCAGCCATTTCGAAGATACAGAGCTAGATGTATAAAAAATTGCAGGTATGGAGAGAACTAAGCACCCGATTTGAATGATTCAAAAAACTTGTGTTGAAAAAAGCTTGTGCTGACAAAACAATTGCTTTTGGAAAAAAAATATCTCAATTTTTTTTTGTATATCGAAAATAATTCAGATTTTAATTTAAATTCTGGCTAAAGTTCTAAAGCTCACTTATATACTTTGAATAAATTTGTATTTCAGTTTATATAATTCTTATAGATATTAGACAATGATACAGTATTTATAATAATCTAATTGAAAACATTTAATAATCCTCGAACATTGAGATATAGTACGGAAAGTTCCAGCAATTTGCCTTAAGGCACGATGCCATACATCATTAGTTTAATTTAATATTTTAGAATTTTTTGAAAAAAAAAAGATTTTTTTTTAAATTTTTTGAAACCGATTCAAGTTATGTATTTTTTATTTAAGTAATAGTAAAAGTAATTCATAAAATATTGCTAAAAAATTAAAACATATTAAAATTTATATAAAATGATAGATAATTTGAATATGCCTAACTATCATTTTTGATCATCAATTGGCATTTTTTTTAACTTTTCTTCTGGATCTCCAAAACCTCCAATTAATTTTGTCAATACAAGTGAAATATTTTTTGAATTATTCAATTAGAATGCTCCATTCTCTCAATAACTGAATTGCAATTTTTTGCACTTCTTGTCTCGTATTTTCGAAACAGCTGGGCCCGCCTTTGCCAAAAACTGTTCAGTACATCTCTACATCAAAAGGAAAAATGCTTTTTTGAATTATTCAAATGGGTTAATCCGTGAAATCTTGAACAAAAATTTGTATTCGAACATACATACATAAATCCATATACACACATACATCCATTTTTTTCTAAGTATTCCAAAACGTACAGAAACCATTAAAACGTAAAAATATGCAACAATTTTCATTTTTTAATACAAAATTTGAAAATTCAACATTGAACATAAAAAAGTAATTCTTTTTATTACATCATATAACAAATTGTTTTGTTTGATTTTTCTCATATTTTTATATAAATTTACAAGGGTTTATAAAATATTTTCCCTTTAAGAACCAAATAAAAATGAAAAAATACTTTCTTTAAATTGATAACCTAGAGGTGAGGGAGTGTGCATTAAACACGTGTGGCTTTTAGGAGAAGGGGGGTTTTGACAAAAAATCACAAAAAATCACGTGAAGGAAGGGAGGGGTCTAGTAAGAGATCACGAGTATTTACTTTTTACCTAGATTTAAAAAAAAAGGGGTTTTCGTAAAATCGAAAAATTCGTTCAAAAAATTTTACGTAACTAAAAATGCATGTAAAGTTTGGTTGAGGATGGGAGATAATTTGGATGGGGGTCCAAAAATCTTCACAAAACCGATCACGTGAATAACGGACGCCCCCTAAAGATAACGAGAAGTCGCAGTACTCAAACCTATCAGATCCCTGTCTAATTAGAACTTGTTGCTTCGGGTTACGTGACTTTCCAACCAAGCCAGACTCTGCGGGGATTTGACGCTTGACATGAAGTTGACATGTTTTTTTACTCTATTATTTTTCCCCCGCATAGGGGATGAAATCTGAGAAAAAATAATGATGCAAAAAATCGAACGACGACCCTAACGAAGATGTTATGTCAACATTGAATAGGTCAAAATCGGTGAGAAAATTCTAAAAGAAATATAAACTTGTCCTATGAATAGAATCCTGTAAAAAGGTCAAAAAGGTTGCAATCAGTATTTGTGATGAAATCTAGTAAAATGAGATGCCTGTAGATGATATTATTGGTTATGGATGATATAACCGCTAAGGGCTATTTTAGATTAAAAGGTTTCATCCAACACTAAAAGCTAATTTAGCTTATAAGGTTTCCTTCAATATCTAATTTTTATCGTAGCACTAATAATTAGATTAATAATTTAGAAAAAATCAATTTTGTTTTTCTTGGATATTCACAAGGGAATTTTTATTGGGAGGGCTGAAATGAGTCTGGTCAGGGACATTTTTTTTAGATTTTCCTTTTCTTTACCTTCTAGAATTAGAACTTGCTGACTATTTAAAATTTTTATTTTTTTCTAGATTCTCAAAATATTAAGTAATAACTTGTAAAAATAGTACAAATGTTATTTGACTTTTTCATACGACCTTTCAAATATACCTTAAAATTCACGCCCGTAGACCAGAATAACCACTCAAGTTTTCAAATACTGTAAACTAAAAGGACGCCGAAAAAGACATTAATGCTTAAATCGAATGCAAAGCATGAAATAAGCAGATGAAAGTGTTAACCGCAAACCAATATTTTATATTTGCTTAATGCAATATATTTGCGGTATAGGTGTATTTTTGCAACTTAATTTACGCCTTCAATATTTGCTTGTAGAAAGCTATTACCACAAGAAATATGACCAGCATTAAATTGATTATTTTCATTAAAAATATTCAACATAATATATTGAAAGATTAATGTTTTATATTGATATAATGTAAAATGAAAGTTGGGATTTACAGACAAATAGGCAGGTCAAAGAATCTTCAACAGGGTTCATTTGTATTTTTGGAAATATACCCTTATGTAATTTTTTGCTGCTAAATTCTGGGAAAAGTTAGAATCCTTATATTCCACATCTATCCAATTAGCGATGGAAATATATTTTGTTAACTATGTATTTTAAATACTTTTAAAAATGATTAATAACACATTTAATATAAATTGTTTAATTATAAATTAAATAGTTTGTGTTTACAACAATAATAAAATATAGTATTGTTTAGCTAAAATATGAACATGAGCTAGAGAACGTAGGACAAGTAGCTTTAGCTATAAACTTCAGTCTTGGAACCACAAGGATTCAGGTTCAAATCTCAGACTGTATACATAGTAATATCAAGCAGTTATGATATTCCATTTCAATTGAACATATAGAGCAAAAAGGTAAATTGCTGGAACTTTCCATAACGTAATTTAGAATTATTAAAAGCTCCAATTTTTTTGAAAAACATTTTTTTTGAAAAATTTGATTTTTTTTTTAATTTTTGAAAACATTTGAAAAATTTATATTTTTCTAGATAATTTGAAATAAAACCATTTTTTTGATGATCTTAAATTTTTTTGAAACATTAAATTTTTATGCCAAGTTAAAAATAAGTTAAAAGAAAATAGTACTTAGGCACTGCAAAAAGCAGTATGCAAAAAAATGAAAAAACTAAAATTAGGAAATAAAAAAAGTATGTGAAAAACTAATATGACAAAATTTTATTAAAAATATTTCCAATATTTTTCAATAGGATGTAAAAAAATAATATTAAAAGGCTCAATTAAATACTCTAGCAATACAAATTTAAGGCAGGCATAAACTACTCGGTAATAGATTATATCTTTCAATTTACATACAAATACTGATCGTTTATTATATATTTATATAATTATCAATTATCAATAATCAATTAAACATACATAAAGTGTGTGTATTAAGAATCAAATTGAATATCGTCAGGTATCATTACAAACGATTATTGATAGATATCAGGTTGGTAAGTTAACACCGCGGCCAGGTGTTGTTTTTGAAAGAACAGTCGTATTGCCTACTCGTTTTCATGTTGCATTCATTGTTATTAATGCCCACAAACATGATTCCATTGATCGATAAGTTCAACAAACTTGACGTATTCGATGTTAATTGATATCTCATTTTAACCATTCTCATATGCACTAGTACATATGTAATAGGAAAAACTGATATTGGAAATGAAATGAAGTGTGCAGGTAATTTACTAAATCAGTCATTTTTGACATTTATCTATTATTATAGTGATATATTTTTGTAATATTTAAATATTGAAGGTACGAATATATATAGGTTTCAAGTTGTAATCTAAATATTTGAAGGTGAAGACAAAACATCACTGCAATTTACAGTCTGCAAATATAGGTATGTATTTTGATAACTGTAACTAAAATTTGTGTGATACTAATCGAAATTTAATCAGAAAATTATAATCCAAAAAGAATGTATCGGCTCTATCGAGCTACCCCCTAAATTAGTATTTAGAGCTATGGTATTTCAATCGGACAATCCAGGTTAGAC